CCATCGAGAGTTTTCATGGAAGAACTGTGACAAAATGTGATAATATTCACGTCCAAACATACGACTGACATTCAATTTCATATGGCAATCATAAACAATTGAAAAAAAAATAATGTGTTTCTAAGCACGGTCGTCAATTTAAAGTGTGCGGCAATGTGTTAAAACCAGGCCTCCACAGTTAGGAAGCAGCTTTGGTGTTTGGGGAGGTCTGTTTTCCATGATTGACTGCAGTATGGTTCAGATCAGAGTGGAAGAAGATCCCTGGAACTCCATCATGAGCGGTGCCTTAATAGGAGACATACGGGCTCCAAGAAATGGACCAGTGGCTATGGTTGGGTCAGCTGCAATGGTGGCATTCTTCTAGCTTTAATTGAAGGGGCTGGTATCTTATTGACAAAATTTGCTTCAGCACAGTTTCCCAATGGTCCTCAATTTGCTGAAGATCCCTCCCAGGTGCCTTCAACCCAGTTACCTTCCTCACCTTTTGGAGACTATCATCAGTATCAGTAGGATTAAGACTCATGTCCTGGAGTTAACAAATGAACTGTAGTTCAAGAATGATTTTGGAAGACCAAGTTGCAGTCTGTTTTTAAAATCATAGGTGGGACAACTCTGGCCAAATAGGCTGTGCGAAGACATTTAATACTTTTTATCCCCCCTACTTAAAGGAATACGAGGAGGAGGTATTACAAGAGAAAACATTTATTTATTCATACTTGGGTTGGATTTGTGATCAGAATAAATGTCTAATACCTTAAAAGTACAACAAGTGCTTAGAAAATGAAGGACCAAAGGACAGCTAGCAGTGAAATGCGACCATTGTTTCCTTCAGGACTTCTCAGCCTGTGTTTATGTGTTCTGTTATTCAAATAATAAAAACTCCTGGATCTTGCTCTTTCTTTTAAGATAAATTGTAGAGTTCTACTATTCATCCGCAGATTCTTCAATTACTGCAAAGTACATTTAAAACTGCATGTTTTATGAGTTAGTGCCACTCATAGCCAGTGGTGTTTGAGAAGAATTATGTGGAGTCAGCCTGGATCATTCCACAGTAAAAGGCTTTATTGGCAGAAAGATGTGGTACATTGTTGGATATGAAACTTTCACCTTTGGTGCTTCTGTATTTTAGTTCATGGTGATCAGAAACCTCACCAGAAAATATTTCCTTCCAATATGTCTGGTTCTGTATGAGAAGAATTGCTAGGAGGGTACTGCTGGCACTGTGGAAGTCTGGTGGTAATTGTGTGTTCAAAAAAGAAAATATATGCCGGGAGTTTAAAGAAAAAAACAACCCAAAACAAAAACAAACCCAGAACAGCTTAGAACAGTATTTATACAAAAGGAACTGAAGAGACAGTGGCACAAGAGACGTCATTACTTATATCAGATGGATCTTGGCTGAAAGCAGAGAATACCAGAAAGATATTTACTTGTGTTTTATTGACTATAGAAAGGCATTTGAACAACTATGAGATATCATCTCACCCCAGTAAGAATAGCAAAATTTAACAGAACAGAAAAGATCAAATGCTGGCAAGGTTGTGGAGAAACTGGAACCCTTATTCACTGTTGGTGGGAGTGTAAAATGGTGCAACCACTATGGAATGCTATATGGCGCTTTCTCAAAAAGTTGCAAATATCATTTGACCCAGTAGTTCCACTACTGGAAAACTACCCTAAAGAAACCATAACTGCCACCCAAGCAGATATATGCACACCCATGTTTATTGCAGCTTTGTTCGCAATAGCAAAGAGCTGGAAACAACCCGAGTGCCCATCAACAAACTAATGTATAGAGAAGCTCTGGTATATTCACACAATGGAATACTACGCTGCACTGAAAAACAAGTAACTCATGAAATATTATGCAAAACGGATGATCCCTGAGGATATTATGCTGAGTGAAATATCTCAGTCACAAAAGGACAAATATTGCATAGAGTACTGTTGTAAAACAGGACTGACACCAGGGTTGAGGGAAGACAGAAAAAGAGGGAAGGAATGATGTATATTGCATTGAAACAGATGAGGGAGATATCTGTTTAAAAGGGATATATGAATGGGTATTCTTGTCATTACAGAAGTCCAGAATGAAGGCTGCATAGTGGAGTGAATTTGGGGGAGGAATTGC